AGACCGGGGACCCTGGACGGAGGAGGGGGAGGGGGCGCAGGGGAGGGGCGGAGGAGCACCCCCCGGGCGGGGTCCGACGCGGGGGGAGGGAGGGGGCGGGACCCGGCGGCTCCTCCTTCTCCTCCTCCCCCACCCTCGTTCCCGCCGGGCATCCCCTTTTCCCTGCTCTACCCCACCCCCACGCCCTCGGCGGCTCTCTGGCTGCTAGCTGAATTGTCCCGGGTGGCCCAAACGCTCTTCCCAGGGCCCAGGCGGGGTGGGGGACGGGGTCTCCGCTTGCCTTCCGCTCAATCTTCGGTCTGGGTCATCCTGTCCACCCCCACCCCCCCACCTCCAGACTGAGCCCGGGACTCCCGCGCGCGTGATTCCGGGTAGGGGGTGTGTGTGGGGGGGAAGCGGGCCATGTGTGCGGACTGCGCCGGAAGGTCCCAGAGCGCCATGTGTACAAATAGCCGCCGGAGGGAGCCGCGAATGGGAAAGGGGGTGCTTGTGTGGGGCAGAAAGGGGTGCACAGGTGGCGTGGCGGCAAGGGTGGGGGCGCTTCGGCCTAGCCTCGCCGCGCGCGCCCGTTCCCACGCCGCCGCTTAGGGGAGAAACGGAGTGACTGGGGCTGGATGGGGGCCGTCGGCTCATTCACTCGGCCTCGGCCAATCTGGAGGCTAGGGGCGTGCGCGCCCCTGCCAGGCTGCGCCAGTGGCGGGGCCTGTGTAAGTGTTGCTAGGCGATAGGGTGATGTGATGACTGCGTGGGTGGGGGAGCCGGGCGCGAGCCCGCGGCGCTGCTCCCTGAGCTGGGCGCCGGCCCTCGTCTGGGGTGGACGCGCATGGAAGCCGCGGTGGCTTATTTGCGGTCATTCACCCCGGCCGAGTGCGCTCCCGCCGGGGTTACTGCAGTTCACGGGCAGGACTGGGCAGACTCCGCTCTTCCCTCGCCCTCCGCCCCAGGAGGGGCGCGCCCCCCTCCCTGCCCATGCTCCCTGGATTCCCGGAAGAGGACTTGCGGCCTACTGGCCCCCATCTCGCCCTCTTCGCCCTCGGGCACCGTGCCAGTTTTTCTGACCCGAGACCCTTCTGGACCCCATTTTGCTTCGGGGGATCTGTGTCTTCCTCCACCCCTCGCTTTTGCTGTCTCTTAAACCTTTGGCCCGACCCCACCTGTCAGTAGGGCTTCGATTGAGGCCGGAGGGAGTTCCTGCTGCCTCGCCCCGAGGGGCTATCTTGGACACCCTCTGAAGCGAGCTAGTAGTCAACTTTAGCCCTGCGGCCTTTTCCCTGTCCTCCTTCCACTCGGTAGGACACCGGGTGTCTTAAATGCAAACCCATTTAACTGGTTGCTTTGGCCACCTCGGTTTTCTGGGGGTGGGGTAAAAGGCTCTTTGGGAACATTTGCCATTTTCGACGTCTGTGCGAGGGAGAACCCGAGTGAGAGACTCTCTTTTTTAAACTCCTTTGGTAGCCAGGTGAAATAAAACATATAGAGTTCCCGTTTGTAAATCTTTATAAATCTTGTTCAGATGGAGTCTCTGCTCTCGTAAGGGAGATAGGATGTTTACAAAGTAATTATGGCACAATAGTGGAAAGAAATAGGTGAAGTGAGAAAAGTAAAGTGAGCTTGGGAGAGGGAAGAGAGTACTTCTGGCGGAGAAGGAACGGGAGGTGACATTTGAGCTAACCAAGCCTTGGAGGAAGGATAGGATTTTGACGATTACAGTGGGCTTAGAGGCATTCCAGGAGAAAGGAACCGCTTCATAGAAGAGCACTAGATGAGAAAGTATACATTTAGGGGCAAGAAGAAATGAATAGTGGCATGAGCTCTCCTTCTTTGACACTCTTAGAATTTCTTCCTAATCCCTCGTTCATAGTTCTTTGTTCTATCAGCCTTTAAGTCCTCAAAAGCTTGTTTTCTGGAAGAAATTACTGTTTTGGTCTCCCCTCCTCCCTTTCCTTTGTAGTTGAATTTGCAAACTCCTTCAGAAAAGAAAAGGAGCTAACTCAGAACTTAACAAAATGCCTGAAAGGTGGTTCAGCACTGATTCCTGGAGAGGAAAGGTAGGCAAGGTTGATTTGTAGTACTTCAGCCATTTCTTTGTTTCCTCTCTCCAGTCACTCAAGTTGGTCTTTGTTCTATCTCCTCTTAATTTCAAGAAATTTTCATTTTCTATCTAGAGGTCACTAGAAATCTGAAGTTCTTAAATCAGGTCTCCCTCTTTCTCTACTGATTTTTGAGGCAATGTCAATGTCCTTCAGGAGATGGCATTGTTTTTGGTAAATGTTGCTACCCTTTGGAGCAAAACTTGACTTTTGGAGTTCATTCTGCTTCCTTAACCTCTTGAAGACATAAGTCTTAAGTAGTGATTTTCATAGTTCCCTGAAGTGCAACATACTCTTATTTTCCTGAATGAAGGACCCTTCGAAATGACCAAACATAAAGCCAAGGAGATAAATTCTAAACCTGTTCTCCCTTTTCCTGCTTGGCCAATTCAAATTTAGCTGAAGCAGACTACTAATATTGGATTACAGGAAGACAAGGATGTTGTTTTCAAATCTCTCTCAAATTCTCTCTCTGATTATTCATTATATAGCAAGCAGTTACATGGACTGGTAGCACCACTGGTATTCACAGCACTCCGAAGTAATAAACTGAGGCAATGTATATCCTGGGAAGAAGGTTAGAGAACTGCTTGCCTAGTTTAGTGTGAGCTACATTTTCTAGAAAAGGAAACCAACAGGAAAATGATAAATGTTAACTCAAAGCCCTTAGGAAAATCTAGCTCCTCAAGTCAAATTCAGTAGCCCATAGATGGTAGATTATAGTAATACACAAAAATGAAACCAATCTCTGCTCTTAAAGAGATTATAATCTAGTGGATGACATAACAATTTTAATAAAACAAATACACAGGAGGGTCAAAATAGTGTTGTGAGAGATCCTGGAAGGAATCACTTAGACCAGGGGGTGGGGGGAGTATGAAATCTGGGAAATTTTATCTAGAAGGTAGGTCCTGAACTGTATCCTGAAGGAAAGGAAGGGTTGATTCAGCAGACAGAGATGTGGGAGGAGGCCATTTGAGATCTAGAGAGACCATAAACTACAGCAACAAGTACTGAAGGAGTGCAGTGAGTGGCTTTGCATTGACTAAACTAAGCTAGTATTCTGCTAGGAGTAGGGAAAGGTTGAGAGTTCTGGAAAAAGACAAAACAGAAATGGGGGGAGGAGGAGGGACAGGGCCAGTGTTGACCTCCAGTACTGGCTGTTTTTGTAACAATGGCATTGAATGTGAGTTTCATGTGGGTAAGTGGCAAGACCCTTGTAACAGATGTGTTGCTGTTGAAAGGAACCTTTTGGTTGCAGGAGAAGAGGCAGGAAACAACATATGCATTAGTAGCTGAATAGGCTTTAAATGTTTTCTTTTATTATGAACTTAGCAATCATCAACACAAACATTTCAACATACAAAGAACAAAAAAGGACGATTGCCTGACCTATGTATCCCCTTCTCAACTTTTTTCTTCTGTGTATTTTAAGTATTTTGTAGATGCTATTTTTTTTTTGCATCTCTATCACTACTCACTAAGTTACACCCTTCCCTTTTCCCCCTCCCATTCCCACCCTTTATCCCCTAACAGATAAGTATAGTCAAGCAAAACAAATCAACACATTGGCTAGGTCTGAAAATGTCTCACTTTGTACCTCTAGTGATCACCTTTTTGCCAACAGGAAGAAGGCAATGCTTAGTTAGGCCCCTCATTCTGTCTCTGGATCCCAAGGCTACTCATATTGGTCCTGGTTGGAAAAAGCACTTAGGTTAGTGCCATAAAGTGGATAAGGCTGTTGAGAATGACACAGGTGCCTGGCCACATATGGTTCCTGCTTTACAAGGGGAATGCTAATGAGATCTAAAGTAGGCCTTTGGAAATTCAAAACCATGGTAGGGTTGTACCACAGAAAGAATTAAATTGATATGTCCACAGCCTGCAGCACACTGAAGTGATCCTCACTAGTTAGAAATAACTGTATCGTGACCCATTTCTAGATGTTGGCAATAAGGCTGAGTTCATGCCTGGGAGTAGAAATGCTTGTTCCCACCTCTTGAAATGTAGGATCTCAAAGTATGAAAGGACTCCACTTTCTGCAATGAGGGATTCAGTTTGGATTAATGACACTGGCTGTCCTCATTGAAGAGGAAGTATCTCTGAGGCTAACGAAAGGGTGGCAGAGGATAACTCTGGATTAGTATGAAAAGTCTGCTTTCCTAGTGTCATACCATTCTATAGGTCTCCTTATCAAAGTGTCCCGAGAGAGTATGGAAGACCCCTGAAAGTGTAGGGTCCAAAGGATATGGGCCTCTTCCTCTTGCAACGTTGGCACTGAGAAGCTCTATCACAATAATGGTTAAACACTGTGAGAGGGAAATACATGAGAAACACTTCTACTACAGATAGATATCCTCTTCCTACTCTCTTACCAGGTTTTTTTTTTTTAAAGGCAATTGGGGTTAAGTGACTTGCCCAGGGTCACACAGCTAGTAAGTGTTAAGTGTTTGGTCTGTGGCTGGATTTGAACTCAGGTCCTCCTGACTTCAGGGCCAGTGCTGTACCCACTGCGCCACCTAGCTGCCCTCTGGTTTTCTTTAAAAAAAAAAAAGAATACATATAGGAATATAGGTGGAGCTGGGCATTGTCCATATATTCTAGAAACAGAAGAATATGGGTCTGATAACAGAGAGCCAAGCCCCAGTGTAACTTTTGCTACTATTAGCCAGGAAGTAAGAGATTTTCATGACATTCTTTAGTTGTGATTCATCGTATAAGTATTTATGCCATATAGGACAACTCACAACCTACCATCAAGACTAATATAAAAGCTAAGATGCTTGTTAATTTTAATTAACTCTATAGGCAACACCAATAAAGCCATCTCCAACAGAATGTGTAACAGAAGTTTCTACTCTTTAATCTAGGAACCTACTTTCCTGCCTTGCTCCTCTATCCCAATTACACCAGCAATAGAGCTGTCCACAAATTCCAGTATGGAAACTTCAATTCTAGATCCTATCACTGGAGAAGGGAGGAGCTGGGCACTGTCATATTAAGGTTAGTCTTTCACATTATAGTTCCGGATTTTTGATGATTTCTGAGTAATTTTCGGTCTTGCAGGATGAGGCTTAGAGGGCTTGGTGGATTTTGGTCTTGGCTGGACCTCCAACTTCATCCCTTCAATGGTAAAAGCTCTAGGAGTCCCTGTTGTATCCTGGTTGAGTTCTTGGAGGCTGTCAGCTGCTCTGGGTGCTGGAAGTTCCACTGTATAAAGAGAAAGAGAAAAGAGTTTTGTTAAGACTATTAAGACTAAAAGATTAAACAAATTAACATTTTAAAAAATCTTAAAAATTAAGATTGTATAAGTACAGATAAGAAAATGAAGCTCTGGATATGTTAAGGAACTGGCTGTTAGTTTAAAATTATTTTCCTTTTCCCTTCACCAGCAGGATCTCTTGAATCTCCTGAATTTCTCTAACTGAAGCCAGGACAAGCTGGAGAGCCTACAGAAGCAGCTGTTGCAACTGTCTTGCACAACAACTTTAGCTGCTGTGTTCTGTCCTCAGTGTCCTGGGGGGCAGGAGGTCCTTGTGAACATGTGCTCTTTAAATGCTTCCCTGATCCAGCCTTAGCTCTACACTCTCTGCTGTGGCACTCAGGACACTTGGACCTAGAGAAACACAAGTTCCTTGTCATGACTATTTTACAACATAATACAGAAACCTCAGATTCTGGTCCCATTTTAAGCCAAAAGAAAGAAAAATGTGCACTTTTGTGGTTAATAGTTTACTTGAAGTTTCATCTCTCAGGCAGCTTTTCACTAAGCTCTCAACACTTAGTAAGCATTTTTTAAACTCCTACTACGTGCCAGGCACCATGCCAAGGATGCAAAGTCAAAACAGTCCTTGTCCTCTAGGAGCTCATAATCTAGCACCATCATCTGATGTGCATATTGTCAAAATGAAGTCTAGTACCCCACAGTAGCCATTAACCTCCTATTGGCTGAACAACGGCTAAGCCAATAATAACAAGAATGAAAACGTCTGAGCCAACTGTCTGCTTTTCTGTGAGTAAGTTCAAACATTGCACCAGGAGAAGTTGGCAACTTCAGTCAGTCCTACTTCACGTGAACTCAAGCAGGAGAGCTGGAAATAGCAAATGTTAAAAAATTATAATTGTTCTTCAACTACTTCATCTTTTCCCCTTTGTCAGACATTTTATACAAATAAGAGTATCTCTTGGTGATTGAGAAAATAAAGTCCTTGGGCTGGTTGAAGGCTTGTAAAACTAATCCATCCCTGTATCTTGAGACTGGACTATACTCAGACCACTCCAGAGAAAGAGTTTTTTTTTCCTCAGAAATTTCCAGTAGTCTCTATCACCTTTTTTAACATCATGTTAGCCTTTTACTGCTAAGATGATGCTTCCAATCCAAGATCACTACATGCATTACAGGCGTTTTCATTTTTTTTTTTTTTGGTTTTGATCTATATATCCCTCTATTGCTCATTACTGGTGATAAGCATTCAAGAAAATGGACTGTGTTCAGAGGTGAAGTCTGTGGCCATGACTCACAGCAAAATTTAACTAACCCATGTGGAACCTGAACCTATTACCTCTACCTCAGCATGACCCCTCTTAAAAATTGACCTAAGACACAAAGTAAAAACAGCCAACCAGAAAAGACATAGGGCACAATCTGAGCAACAGGAAATTGATGACTGAGGTACATCACATACAGAGCAAGTTAGCTGACTAGTTAGTTAGTTACTGAAATTTAGTTGCTTTCTCTAAATTGCTCCAATCCCCAAATCTCAAAAGAAATGCATCAGTTACTTAATAATTACAACCTTAATCCATAGGAAATAATGTTCTTCCCCTCTATTATACACACATTAGATAAAAATCTCATGAATTAGCCTCTAGAAAATCTTAATACATAGTGTTCTTGTTCAATATTCCTATTCCCAACCAAACCCATATATTCACTGTAATGAACACAAGTGAGCAGGATAGTCTCGAGACTTAGGGCCTAGGTATTGGGCTTCCCCATGACAGTAACTCTACCCAAAACCTTGAACAAGAAAACACTGATTCTGCCTAGCCATTTAAAAGAAAAGAGAATGTAAAAATTGGACAAATTTTCAGGGGAAAAAAGAAACTCAATAAAACAGAGGACTTTCAAGTTATTTCTGTGGAAAAAAGCAGAGCTGAGTAGGAATTGAAATGAGAGCACAAGAGTCCAGAAAAATCTAGAAAGGTAAATTTATTTGAGCAAATGGAAGGAGCTATATGATAAAGTGCTAAAATTCTAATGGGGAGAAAGTTTCCTTTCAGAACTTTAATGTCTTTAAAAGGTATTGATGGAATTAAGTAAGAAAAAGAAGACTTGGGGGTGGATTGGTTCCATTCTGAGTGTTTTAAGAAGGGAAAGAGAGGCTAAAAAGAATATATTAGTGTAGAAAGGAGGAAGAAGGGGTTAGATTTACTATTTTTCACAACTGAAGTGTGTGAGAAAAGTATACAAATGTAGAAGATGTGGGAGGAGTGGGTTTCATATGAACTTCATTCTTATCTGAACCACACAAAGGAGGGTTAAATACACACACACACACACACACACACACACACACACACACACACACACACACACACGTTTGGTGGAGAAATACAGGAAGCTCAACAGATGAGGATGGGGAGTGATGTTAAGAAGGAAGATAATCCCAGAGAGGGAATATTTGAAAGCATAACTAACTTCCTGATATTAAAGGGGGAGTGAAAGGAAAAGCAAAAACAAAAAGAAACAAAGACTTGGAAACTAAGGGATGATCACCAATCAGGGAATGGCTGAACAAATCTAATGGAATATTATTTCACAGTAAGAAATGACAAGAGATGATTTCAGAGAATCATAGTTAACATTAAATAATACAGACTGAAGTAAGAAGAAGCAGAACAATTTATACAATGACAACAACACTGTAAACAAAAAAACCCTGAAAAGTGTTAAGAACTCTGGTGAAAGCAATGACCAACCACATCTCTGGAAGGCCTATGATGAAGCCTGTTTCTCATTTGACAGAGAGGTGACTCATGATGTGGAAGTAGTCATATGTTTTTGGACATGGCCACTATGTGGATATGTTTTGCTTGATTATGCTTATGTGTTACAAGGATTCTTTTTTTTCCTATGTTTTTAATTGGGAAAGGGAGGAGAGAGGGAGAGAGGGGTAGCAACAATGATGCCAAAAAGGGGGGAAAAATACGAGGGTTATAGAAACATTTAAAAACGTGCATAGAGGAGTCCAGATGGAAATTCAGAAGGACACTAAGACAAGCAGGGTAGTTTTGAAAGTAAAATGTTGGATTTATTATATCGTATACTTTTAAAAAAGGAAGTGGTAGGAAATATAGATTCACAATTACATATACAACTCCCTTTTTGTTTCTGCTTTGTATACGGACACACTTTTTTTATATTTTTAAGTTCAGGATTAAAAAAAGAAAAAGACCCAGTTATAGTCAATTTAAAAAATTGAAGGGGTTGGATTGAAAAAAAAAAAAGAAAATTGTGTCAGAAAAGCTGTGGTAAATAGTCACAGGTTAGAGGAGACTAGAGCTCTGGGCCTGAGGGAACAGGGAACAGGGATTTCCTAACATGAGGAGGCTGAGGAAACTTAGCAGCTAAGCCTTAAGGGTTTGGACAATAGTGGAAAGGAGAAGACTTCAAAGAATGAGGAGGATTCCCAAAGGTGAGTAACAAGGAATAGAAGAGAAAATCTCAGATACCAAAAGATAAGAGAGAAGGCCTGAATGAAAACCTAGCCCACAAACAAATAAACCAACAGAGAGGGTAATAAAGACAGAAATAAATTTAATGATTGAGTCAAAGGGCATATTGCTGTAAAAAAATGTAAACTCTGATTTTCTTTTCTTTGTATGGTTATTCCAGACTGTAATGCTTACAGTCTGAAAGTCCTTCCAAATGTCTAACATATTGTTGTGGCTTCAGCCTATTTAGTTATTTTATCTCCCTTCGTATACTTGAAGAATGCTATTTAGTCTCTCTTCAACTTCTTCTACAGTAAGTTCAGTTCCTTTGGCCTTCTTTCAACGGATTTATTAACCAAACATTTCAAATCAGCTTTTTGCCTTCCTCTTGCTCCCCTCCAAGTTCTCTCATGCTTCTGTTGCATGCTCTTCACACGGACACAGTCCTGTAGTAAAAAGCTGATCAATGTTGACAATAAGGATGAGATTACTGGACAGTTCTTGAATGTACTTGTATTTGCTTTTGGAGCAGCTCCTGCCAGGCTCATACAAAGATAGTTCTACTCTAAATTATACTGCCGTAATGCTGTTTATTTCTCCTCCACAAAGTAGGCTATTCTCTACTTACCTCTGTTCAATTTTATTCTCCCATATAACAATATCTGACCACTTTATTCTCTGATTGTATAGATCAACATAAACAGGGGAAGCAAAGTTACCTAGTGGGAAAGAATCAGATGGGGAGTCAGGAGCCCCAAATTCTAGTCTTAGCTTTGGCAATAATTTATGTAATATTGGGTGAATTCAACTTTATTTAACTTAGATCCCCTATCTGCAAAATAGGAACGATAATATTTATACTTGGAAGGCAGGCTGTAAATCAGAAGTACTGATTTTCTGCTAGAGGGAAGGAAAAGGAGCTACAATGAAATTTGTTATACTGAGACAGAGCCATCTCAGGTATTATAACACCTCACCCTGTTTCCTCCTATGCTGTCCCATTTCTGACTAGAAGCTTCAGTGAGGGTCTTGTTCACAACAGCTTATAAGCCCACATCATCAAGTAGTAAGGTAAGTTCTTTCTTAAAACTGTCATATAGCTGAAGGAAAGTTAAATTTTTCTTATGTTCTTGGTAACCCTCCTTATAAATTTGATTTCTCTAATTCCCCCTACAGAAGAAGATTTGATTGTAATAACTCAGGAAGGGAAGGAGAGGAGAAGGGAATAAACATTTGTATAATGCCTATGTGCTAGGTGCTTTAAAAAAAAATTTAAAAACCATATTATCTCATTGATCTCAAATATCTCAAATATTTATCTCCTGGTCTCAGGAGATACAGATCATTTAAAAAAGTGTATCAGGGTGGGATTGGGGTTGGCTGATCAAGGGAATCCTGATCCATTGAGTACCACCAATCCACTTGATAGAATTTTAGTATGCAAGGTGGCTCAATAGATCAGGTCCCCCGATCAACAACCCGCTTCATCCCCAACAACCCAATATATAAACAGGGAAAATGTGAAAGTCAGATTGCTTGTTAGTTCTATTAACTTATCTTATTTGAAGTATAGTGGAGGCACAAGGAAGAAAGATGTAACCAGGGAAGAGAAAGTAGTAGTTCGATTGAGACAATAGATAGTTGAAAGAGTAACATGAGATAAGGCTGGAAAGTGGGATCATGCCATATTGTACAGGGTTTTGATGCTAGGCAAAGGAGTCTGAACTCTATTTGGACGGCATTAGGGAACATGATGAATTATACATAAGGAAGGTTTATCTGGTAGTGGTTTAAAAGATGAATTGGGGTGAAGTGAAGGGTAGGGAATGGAGACTGAGAAAACTTGTTAGAAAGTTATTTCAGTATTCCAAGCAAATGTTTTTAGGCCTGTACTGGGGTGGAAGTAGAAATAGAGAGTATGGAACAAATGAGAAAGTTATTGATAAGGAAGAATTGATAGGACATATAATATCAAGACTGAGGACTGTAACATTGAGGAGGCTCAGCTGAGCCATCTGTTCAGCTGGGACACTATATTCTATGGCAGCCCAACCTAACAGTAGAGTGATTTGTCTATCATGGATACTGATGGCCTGCCCTATAGTGAACTTCATCAGGATTCTCTGGAGAAAGGAAGGACATAGAGACCTTGCTGTTCTGGAGTTGTGAGTTGCCTTGGCCATATACGTTCCCTACACATGTGCCTGACTACCATTATATCCACTCTCTTCACAGCAGACTGTTTTTGTGGAAGAATTTGCCTGAGGGTTTTTGGGGGAAATATTTTAGAATTTTTTTTTTTTGCTATACCAATTGAGTAAGTGCTCTTTCTAAGAACTGAATCTACTGGCTGATTGTTCATGAGAAACATAGCAGTAGGGGTTCATGAGCTACAGTGTTAGGAGAAGTCACCTATGGGGTGAACTAGAACCTTAGGTAGCAGTCGCCCCTCTGGGAATCCAACCTGCCAGTGTGAATTGGGTGAGATGGCAGCAGGGCAGGGGGAGTTATATATA